TCTTTGGACAGATCGTGTTGTGTCCTGATGAAACTGTTCGGTCTGTCTGTTGGAGGTTTGTGCAAGAATTTCAGAGAAATTTTCCGACGGTTGGAAATAAAAACATTCCTTGTCTTGAAATAAAATCTATCAACAACGACAAAATAAATGAGTGTATAAGTGAATTTAAGATATCGTATCTGGTCTTAGACCGACATTAGTTCCAATTTCGTCCAGCACAGTTGGTCAACAGTACCATTGGACAAGCCCTTCCTGACTCCACCCTCATCAATGAATCCAGACTTGGAACCAGCACCAGGAGGACAGAGAGTGTTGGAACCCACAACCTTCTTACAGTACATCACATTCTTCTCTGAGCTCCTTCACAAACGTTATCATTTTCTCTCCCTTGTGTTCAATAATAAACTGAAGAAAAAAAAACTGAAGAAAGTTTACTCCACAGCATCGATCTGCTCTTTAAACCCCGATCAAATCTAACTGAAGATAAAAGTCTAGTCATAAAAACTAAATTCACTCGCAGACAAATTTATCACACATTAATCCGACTTCTGCCCCGGAATATTTGGATGTTTTACTGCCGACACAGACAGATCGGTAGCAGTTAATGACATATGGCGAGCGGTAGATGTTGATTTGATTAAGACTCAGTTGAGCCATAATGACAGATCACAACATCTCTCAAACTGTCAAAGACCATGGAAATGTTAGGGCGTAGAAATAGAAGGATTCATACAAAAAAAAAAATAAACGTATCACAAAGTCTGAGAGTCAACTTCTAAAACTAAACCTACGAACTTCTTTCGTTCTCACTGTACGACTACGATGATGGACACAGGAGCTGCTGATCCACTGCTGCCTCCAGAGGTAAGACTGAGACAGCAGTGAGAGCTGCTATGACGTACGGTTTAGAGACTGTGCCTCTGTCTGGAGGTGAGGTGACAAGACGTATGCCTCAGTTTAGAAATCGCAGAAAAAGAATGAGCGCTAGATCATGGAGGTGAGATTGACATGGTTTAGACATGTGTTGAGGTATAGATGGATGGATGGATGGATGGATGAACGGATGGATGGAGAGATGGATGGAGAGGTAGGTCGGTAAGTAAGTAGGTCGATAGCTAGGTGGATTGATGATGGATGGATGGGTGGATGGATGGATGGAAGAATGGATGAAGGGATGGATGGATGTTTGATTGGATGGATGGATAGATGGATGGATAGGTAGGGCGGTAGCTAGGTGGATGGATGGATGGAGGAATGGATGGCTGGATGGATGGATGGCTGGATGGATGGGTGGATGAAGGGGTGGATGGATGATGGATGGATGGAGGAATGGATGGCTGGATGGATGGATGGATGGCTGGATGGATGGATGGATGGCTGGATGGATGGATGGGTGGATGAAGGGGTGGATGGATGATGGATGGATGGAGGAATGGATGGCTGGATGGATGGATGGATGGCTGGATGGATGGATGGATGGACCCTAAAGCCTAAAGGTCACAGCAGACTTTCCTCAGAGACCAAAACAATCCAAACATTTTTGTCTCTGTCAGGATCAGGAGGCCACGATAGAAGAACACGTGCTTCTGTGAGTTCGTCACTGATTTGTGAGTGAGTTTTTTTTTTTTTTTTTTGAATTTTTTTTTTTTTTTTTTTTTTATTTTTCCTTTTTTTTAACTTTAAAAATCCGGAAAAAAAAAGGGGTGTT